ACAAATTTATATGAAACAATTTATATGAAACTGCATCTGATATAATTATTTATTAATACCATATAAAATAAATTGGCGATTCATAATATCTATTCTCCATGAGATAAGTAATACTTTGTTATTCGGCTCGATCTTCAAGTGATTTTTTTTGATCTTTCATCATGCGATATATCTTTACACGAATACTCAACGCAAATACATCGTTTGGTTTAATTTTAATGATTTATCTAGTTCTGCTTCTTTATTGATTTTTTTCATAAAAATTTTCTCGATATCATATTTCAAATATATGCTTCATTAAATTTATATCATCTGGAAGATGGCTACATAATTCTTTGTGCATGCAGCTTATACGAAGCAATTTTCTGTTGATTGCTAAAAACATAAATTAATCTCTAATTAGTAAGTACCGTAATAACGCGCAGAGGTGTAATATTGAATTTCGGCTTACATTATAACATGCAAATATGGTATAAACTTCATCGTCATTAATACTAAAACCAGAATTTTGCGAACTACTTCCAATTTAGAGGAAGCACTATCATTACTTTGTTTACATGTAGTTAATTAAAGTTGTTCTTCTGTTTTTTTGAGTATTAACGAAATTTTCGAGGTAACAATCGTTCAATCCGTTGTTCTAACAATTTCAATTCTTCATAAATTGCACTAAGAATTACGGGCTTATGAAATTTTAACGCTTTAATACGACTGTTGTCAATGTCATTTAATTTATTGAAAGCCATTTCCAATTATATACAGCTCACTTTTCATGATTAAAATTAATGAACTACTTTTGTGCAAAATAAATTTGGGTCTTGAATGCTTTGTATAATCAAGAATATAATAATTCATTAAATTCATTATTAAGAATATTTTCGACCTTTGATAATTTACTCAAGTTTAAAAGACTTCTTCAGCGTGTGAACGATCAACAGGATCATGCCAACATTTTAATTCATGATAGAAAAATTATTTAACTACTTGTAGAAATGAAAAAATTCGAATTTTCGGAGTTATGCACTTGATACTGCATGATAAAAAAAAAAGCCAAAACCGAGTGTTCATAATGCAGAATCGTGTTCATGATTAATGCGCATTATTGCTTAATGCACACACATGAAACCGCATTAACACATCTCTAGATATGTTTTTATGATCAGAGCTGACAAATTCATACCACATAAATCCTTGATGGGAAAAATTTACAGAGTCCCTTTTTTAATCGCTGGAAATACTGCATCGATTATAAAACCTACCATTGTAAATAGCGATATATTCATAAGATGCACTGACAGGTGAGGTTTTTCTTAGTTCATTTGCAATTTCGAGCTGCAATAATTCTTACTGATGATCCTTAAAAGGTACTTGACTACTTCAAATTTCCAATAAAAGTATCCCAACACTGTATTGGTATATATTCAGACTGTAATTTTGTAGTTTAAAGCATTGGGATCGACATATGGTAGATTGCCATAGAGCTTCCTTGAAGTTTTTCAGACGGATGTCTAGACAATTCAAAATCTGCTAATTTTAGAATTCGTTAATAAATAAGAATATTTCTAGATT